CAGCGAGTGAGGCTTGCAGCTGGTATGAGGAGGGCTACTCAAAGTTAAGGGCCCCTTACACGCATCCCAGTCTTTGTGGTTCCGTAGAACGGCCCCGTGTTTTCAGCAACTCATTTAGGCGATTCGGGCTTTTGCAGGCCTGGGACGTCTGTACGAGGCACACAGTTTACGGTGGGCGAGACAAAACTGATTCTAAGTGCTTCAGGGTTATCGGCGCTTATGAGGCTTGAACTTGGGCGTGTGTTGTGTGGTTGTGTGGGTTGGGTTTGAATCAACATCTGAAACGCGTGGGTTGTGTTTGAGTCGACGCTGCCAGATTTGGACATTTTGTTTGGTTCGAGGGCCCGTGTTGGTGCGGCCGGCGTGGAAAGGGGGGGTAGACTGTAGAACGGTAGGATTCTCTACGCTGCCGGATCCCTGTATACCCAAACCTCGTTTAAAGTATGGGGTTTTTACAGTCTCAAAGAATTTAGGGTTGCATGTCTGGGTGTTGGGGGATGTTTAGGGCTGAAAAGGGTTCAGGGTTGTCTCGAACCCAAGTCCAGCAACAGGCTGATCGGATGGACCCGTTCTTCTTTTGAGCAGCGGCGCCCTCGGTGAACTTCGGAAAAGATGTCCAAGGTGCAACCCATCGTCTCCATTGTAGCTCGGTTTTTGGTTAATCAAAAACTATGTTATAGGATCCTCTAACCGTAAAGTTGGTTAACCAGAAAAGGAACTACAATGGAGACTGTAGAACCATTTGAGGCGCGTTGTTGATGGCGTCAGAAGTCTTGCGAAGATTTTGGTAGGAATGCGCAGGTATTCTGGGTTAACAAGAACCCAGTATTTGCACGGGCTTCCAACAGGGCCCACGGGGTTGAGTCTGGGTTTTGGGTTTGGGATTTGTTGGTTCAGGTTTCGGAATACCTTGAAGCTCGAGCCAACAGGTGGTCCAAACAACTCGGAAGGATCGCAGTGGTTTAAGGTTCAGGATTTAGGGTTCAGGGTTTATGGTTCAGGTTTCAGGATTTAGGGTTTAGGGGTTCAGGGTTTAGGGTTCAGGCTTTAAGGTTTAAGGTTTAGGGAAATATTTGCTTCTCGTGCGTTCCAATGAAGGCACAGACAGGATGGTTTCTGTTTTGGGCACTCTATGCAAGTTGCCATCACAGGGATCTTCAATTCAGTTCCTAGCGCACACCATTTTGGAGGAATGACTATCTTGGACAGTCCTGGGCCGGGAAGACCCAAATGCAAATCCTCAAGCCTGTAACCCATAGGCAAAATCTGCAGTGCAAACACTACTCGTGATCCTAAACCCTTGGGGATCAACACAGCCCAAAAGCCTTACATAGCATGGTCTTGGTCTATGTGCCCAAAAGCGTTAGGTAGCATGGTTTTTGTTCTCAAAATCCTTAATGCATGAGTTTTTTAGAGCCCTAGGGAACCCGGAAGTTATACCCCAAAGTGTGAGAACCCAAAGCCTTGAACGATGGCAGAGTGCGAATGGACACCTGCCATGTTCCGAGGATCCACCGGATGAGGATGAGGGTGCGTCGAAAGGAGACCTTCCGTGGTGTTTGCATCTTTGTAGAGTCTGTAGAGAAAGGGCGGAGGGTTTTGGGGACTTTTTTGGAGAGCTCGTTCTTGCAGTTGTTGAGGAATGCGCTTGAAGTGATCACTGGCTACCAGCGATTAGCAGTCCTACCCCCCAGTGGATTGGATTGTTTGCCGTTTCGGGGCCGTGGCGGAAAAGTCTTACGCCCCGGTTTGAAAGATCAGTTTCAATACGCTACTCCCTACCCCAACAAACCCCAAGCTCTGAACCGAACAAGCTCTGCAGGACACACGGAAGACGGTGCTGTCACAGCTTAGCCGGACGTTTAGTGGTTTCGGTGGGCGCATGAGCAGCCGTAGCTCGGCCCGTTTATTACCCAGACCCCCGGGAGGATCCAAAAAGTAGATCCCTTAATGGGGGTTCCTATAAAGTACCCTTAGTAGTATAGGGCCCCAAATTAGGGGATCTACTTTCTAGATCGTCCCGGGGGTCTGGGAAGGTTGATCCAGGGGCTCGAATGATTAGAGTCTGAGTAGGCCCCTGAACCCTAAACTCCAAAGCCCAAACCGCGAGCCCCAAGCTAGAAGCGGTAAGCTCCCCAAGTGCCAAGTCAGCAGCCATTGTTCGGCTTGGGCTTGGCTTCGGACCGTTCGGATCAGGTTCAGAGTTTACCAGGGGAAGTACGAAGCCTGTTGCAAAGAGGGTTTGGCTTAGAGTGCCTGATGTCCTGTCCTTCGGCGAGCGGCATCTTGGACGTAAGCACGCGCCAAGGGCAAACAGCCCAAGGACCTAAATAATGGCTGCATGCCCCTGTTTTTCAACGTACCTAGGCTCAGTAGAACCCGAAATGCAGCTTCTGAGCCCGATGAGCATAGAAGCCCTCATTTGCCACATTGGGGCTGACCAGTGCGTTCTTGAGCGGGAACCCCAGTCGAATCCTGTGCTTTCCAGAAGATCCATGCAGATCCGCGCTAATCCCGGTGAAGAAAGGGGTTGTAGGGGGAGGGGTGCGTGATATCGAATCCTACGACGAAACGGATTTTGTTCGGTCACTCAGTCCAAAGTCAAGCCCCCTCAGCCCTGAAAACATGCAATCTGCTGACGCTTGTTCAGGCTTCTACTTCAGTGAGACTTGTTATCACCCAATGATGAGTTTTTTTTTGAATCTGCGGGCCACCACCTGGAGATATCCTCGGCGAACTGATTAGGAGATGAAGAGACGGGTGGAGTGGGGGGGTTAGGGTTTCGAGTTTAGGTTTTGAAAGTAATTAGGACCCCGAAACCTAAAGCCTAAACCCTAAACCCGTGAACCCTAAACCCTAAACCCCTAAACACTGGGTGGGACATCGGCAGGAGAAAGGCCCCAACACACTTAAAACCCTAAACCCTAAACCGAAGCCTAAACCGCCTAATCCCGGACATTGCAGCCCAGAGGTTTCGAAGTTCTGCAGGCTGATACGCTAGCAACGTAAATAGTGAACGGGGGAACTTTAAACTTTTTGGCCTTATATACTAGCTCCACTATAACAGAAAGTTTGAGCTTTTTTGGGCCCGGTTGTTGAAGAAGAGAGGCAAGCCATAAACACAGCCCTCCATGTCCGAAAGCCCCACGCTCCCTACAAAACCCTAAGAACCGAAACACCCAGAAGCTATCATAACTCACCCAGCCTCCGGTGACAGTACTGTAGAATCCCAGAAGACAAAACGAAGTGAAAAGCTGCATTGATGAGCCCGCAGATGTGTAAATCGCGGGCGGGGGGGGGGGGGGCTCACTCGAAGCCCAACAGCTTGAAAAGCCGTTAAACCACACCGCCAAAAACTTTGGAACCCAGGTATGTATGCACACAGCCACGTATCACTGCTCTGTGTGTGCTCAGACATTTGTATGTAACTGCATACACATCTATGTATGCAGGTATGTATGTATGTGTTCACTATGTTCATGCTCGTTTTTCTAATTATGACTTCGATCTACATATTGCAGGCGTTACCACGGACTCCCGACGTTCGACCTCGAGTTCGCCACGGGCGCGGAATCCAAGAGCTCGGGGCTTTGGACTGCTCGGATTACCCTAAGGCCCCATAGTAGTTCCTTTTTGGGGTTCATACTTAGAATCCTATAAGGTGATCCCAAAAACGAACTGCTATGGGGCCTTAGGGTAGATTCGTACAGTATGGGGGCCCAGCACTAGGTCTAGGGCTTTATTAGTTATCTATACTATTGCGGTGGCGTTCCTTATCATAACTGTAGCATAACAATGGGCCCAAAAACCCTATTCTAAATATTAAAGGCACCGAAATTAGTTTCAGGAGTTTGGAGGTTGTTGGCTGTTGGGGCTGGGGTTTGCTTACATGGTCAGGGTTTGCGGTCCAGGTAAAGAAGCCATGAGAGACTAGAGCCTGCTAGACATTAGGAGTTCATGGTTCTGACACTCCCTCGTTTTACTGAAGATCCTGACCATTACTATTTCCATGTTTGATCACTGTACTCAGCCACCGAAAATCTGAAACCTCGAACTTTAACCTTTGCACCTTGAACGCGAGATGCCCTGTCTCCAGGTTGATTACCTGAAGCTTTTGTCGCTCAGAAAATCCTGGTGTTTAGGCTTTGGGACCGTGCTGCAGGTGGATTCAGGCAGGCTCATCTTTAGTATAGCACGGCAACCCAAAAACGGCTTAGGCTTAAGGGTTTCAGCAGGGTTTAGGGTGGGTATGGGGCCTCAGCCATGCGAGCTGAATTTTGTATGCTTGCAATCCCTGCTGCAACCTAGATCGACCTCCGCACTGGAGACACAAGAGACCTCAAACATGTTTCTTTGCTGAGAAATATGTACTCCTCGCAACAAGGAGCTGCCCAGCTAGACGTTCTGTCCGACAAAGGTTCAAGGGTTTCGGAGATCGATGCTCTTGCACGCCTGCAAACAGCAGCTGCAATTAAGATCTGCGCAGATCGGACATCTCGAGAGAGATTCCCCCAGCCTTAAACCCCAAACAGTGGATGAAGCCGGAATCCCAGAACATGCCTATATAGAGGGTGCATGCTATCGGTCTGAAACCGAACGATTGCAATGGTGCCTGACAGTGCCGAATCGGCGAATGTCGTCGGCCGCCGGAGACTTGTCCTCGATTGAAAGCAGCTTTTGGTCATTTATGGTACATGATTCAGTGTCATGTTTTAGATTTGGGGGTTTCCGAAAATAGGGGACCCTAATATAGTACCCCAAATAGTAGGATCCTTATTATACGGAACCCAAGATAAGGTACCCCTAATTTTCGGAAACTCCCATTTCGTGCCCGATCCAAGTTTCTTGAGCATCGACATCGAGTCTGTGGATGCCTCTGCTAACCTTAAACCCTAAACCCTAAACCCTAAACCCTAAACCCTAAACCCTAAACCCTAAACCCTAAACCCTAAACCCTAAACCCTACCTCGAGCCCGATGAACTTCCAGTAGTTCTGTCGGATGACGAGTCCTTCGGAGACTGGGAAGTTCCAGATGAATTTGGCCGCCCTGAAGGGGACGTCGCATCTGAGACAGAGCCAGAGAGAGTTTGCCGAAGTGCCGCGGTAGCAGCGTTCCTGCAGGCCATGGAGGCAACTCGCCCAGAAGTTTTGCGTGGATGTCCAGCTCACGTCGCGTCTGGCGGCTTTGGACGGGTGTTTTGGGCGAGTTGGCATCGGCGTCGCAGCTTCTTCCACCTGAGCAGGGTTACCGAAACCTACGACGAGTTCGTCAGTCATAGCTGGGAGGTTGCATCTTGGAAGAAAGCTCTGCTCATGGTGATATTAAAGCATGGCCCACCTGCCTGCCTCCTAGCGGCCCTTGGTGCTGCGCTGATGATGTGGATTTGGCAGTTTGGCTTCTTGCCTGGCTACGTGAAAGCTGAGTATGAGTCCGATGCGCCGGGCTTGCAACACTCTTTTTGGAGCCTTCTCGCGGGGCTTATCCTGGTTCCCTTGACTCTATTCTTCTGGAAGCCTCGTGGCATCGTTTTTTTAGACCGGGTGTGTATCAACCAGTTCGACAGCCGCCAGAAGGCGGAAGGAATTCTGAACCTGGGAGCCATACTGAAAGCGTCCGAATCGCTTCTGCTTGTCTGGGACGAGTCCTATGTGGAGGCTACACCGGCTTCAGCAAGACTTTTGTTCGGACATAACATAGAACCTCGAATTTTCCTTAAGACTGAATTGGCCTCTTAACACCGAGGACAGGCTTTGGTGTGTCTTTGAGCTAGCAGCATTCCTTCGTTCCCATCCCGACATGCTCACCACCATGAACCTCTCCAAACTGAAAGTGGTTCCTGCCGCTCTTGGCTATGTGTCCGTCTCACTGGCGCTAGGTTGTCTAGCCTTTGGCTTTTTCGGGTTCCTGGTTCCGTCAGAGGATGTTTGGCTGCAGTGGACCGTCAAATCGCTTCTGATGGTTGTTTGCGGCAATGTCGCGGTAGACGCATTTCGTTCGCACTTCCGGGGCCTGGACGCGATGAGCTCTCAGCTGCAGAGCTTTGAGCTTCAGAAGACCAGCTGCTGGTGCTGCTCTGTGAATCATGTGCACCCGACGACTTCTGAACAGCTCCCATGCGATAGAAGCATCCTTACCAAGTGTTTGACCGCATGGTTTGGTTCCGAGCAGGCCTTCAATGATGCTGTTCGCTCGTCTGTGGCCACCGCCCTCGAACAGCAGCTGGGCTATGACGCATTTCCATACACCTGGCTATTGTGGTCGTCGTCACCATACTTGTGGAGCCTCATGGACGTTCTGGCCAGCATGCTAGGCAATAGTGCTCTCAGGGAGGATGCTGTCCAGAGGATTCTCATCAGAAGCCCTATCTATTGGCTCTTCACTTTTCCAACGATTTTCACGTGGGGCATGATCATGGCCCGCTTCGTGCGAGCGAAGGGGCGAAACTGCCTCACCGAGTTTCTTCGCAACATCCTCGTCGTTGTCATGGCTGGGCCAAGCATCCTTGTCGTCTTGTTTTGGGAGATTTGGACCCGCCTCGCTTTCGAGAATAAGTTGGTGGGCTCCTTGATTTTTGTGACTAGTGCTGTGGTGAATTTTCTCATCACAAGGTCTATCTACCATTGGCACCACGGCAAACGAATCTTGCAGCCGATTGGTCCAAGATCCTGATAGGTTTCCAGGTACAGAGCTCCTGTCTCACAACAAGGTTCTCGCATTTTCGCGGAGGCCCCAGATGACGGAATGTCCTCTGCAATGTACAGTCAACTTGTTGTGAATCTCGCATCCGCGACGGACAAGGGTCCTGTAGCCTCATGGTTCAAGATCATGAGAGATTGAAATTTGCAAGGGTAGTGATACACGTTTGCTTGTATGCGCAGCAAAGCGAATCACTTGCCCCAATTTTTGAACGGCTTTTGAAAGTTTCGATGAATGGCTACTAATGGCTGCTGCATGATCTAAAGACTCTAAATCATGCCACTTTGAATTCCGCGGCCGCCTGCGTGCCCAAAAAAGTCGGGTTGTGCTTTTCGCTGCCTTTGACCACTGCGAGATGTCTAGCGAACCCTGATCGAACCAGCTCTGGTCAGGGAAGCAAAGAGTTTGCAGACTCGCCCAAGGACCTCGGCTGAAGCGCTTTGCCCTCATAGGGCCTCCGATCACTTTGGGGTTTGGCATTAAAAGGGTGGAGGAATCTGGTCACTTGTTTTAAACTGCTTCGGTTTGGGATTATAGGTTTTTATTGTGTGTGGCTTTGGTCACCTTGGTGGTGCGAGGAGGTTCAGGTTGAGGTCTCTGATCACCGTTAGATCTGGTTAGTGCAAGAACAGCTCAGCAGCAAGCTTGCATTGTAGTTCCTGTGAGCAGGTAGCCCACAATTTGATAGAAACCCTGGTCAAACTCAGTATCTTTGCCCATTGGGAAAGAATTGCGATCTGGGAGTTGCTGTACGTACCGGGCTCTTCACCACACTTCCTTTGTCGGGTTGCGCTCTCGAGACGGCATGGTGTTGTGAGTGGCTCTCGCGCAGTTCTCGAGGTGTTTGAGTGTTTGCCATTCTGGCACATGGTGCCCATGTGGGTTTCCACTGGCGTGCTTGGCGGTCTTTCGTCGTAGGTTCTGGCCTCCGCCGGCATGCCGCTGTTTATGTTGCATGCCCGACCATAGACCGGGTTCTCAAAGAAAGGGTCCGGGCACTGAGCTATCTGCTAGACCTTATGATACCACTTCGTGGGAACACTGCTCTGTCGACGGGAAACACCAATCTGGACACTGAGCCTTCCGACTGCAACGTCCTGGCTACGAACATCTTCTAGACTTCGTTCTTGGTATGTATGGGGCTTGCGATGCTAGGCTTGAATAGGCGCGCCCGCTGTGTGATGCAGGACGTACGTTCCACCTTTCTGATGGGCGTGGACGACGGCAGCGAGGTGCACTGTGTGAGGATTTGCCTTGACCCGTATTGGTCGGACATGTTATTGTTTTACCTGCCTAAGGGTCGGCCTTAACAAATAGTGTATATCACCTCAATCTTAAAGGGTACAGAGGTAAATTTCCGAGTTCTCAGGCCTTTGGGCAGAGTCGATTCTTGAAGCTTGCGGCTTGCGTTCCGCAAGGCAGGAGTCTCTATAGCAGGCTACCACAATATACAAGCAAAGTCCCACTAAGGGCTGAAACATGAAAGTCACAGCATTCCTTAGGGTAGGCGTCAATGGCCAGCTGAACAAGCTAGCTGTTGAGCGAAAATGGCCAAGTTTCTCCATACTAAGAGACCCCACGTCCTGACCCCCGAACCCCGACAAAGAAAGCACCCAGGAGACCTTCTACGTTTGGTCTTGTATCAAAGGGCTGCAAGCGGCCAAAAGATTGGGGGGGGGGGGGTTGAGAAATACAGTAGTATCGCAACACCGAAGGTATAATGCATATGTATATATATATATATATATAGAGATGTGTAATTTCTGAAGCTTCTATGTTAGGACTCGACAGGAGTTGCAGGAAAGCCTTCATGCTTGGGGCTTAGGGGGAGAAAGTGGACTCGAGAGTCCCGAGTCTCAGAGTCCTAAACTTCTCCGGCCCCACTACCTTAGCTATGAGAAATTTCCATGCACCGTACGGCCTTCCATATGAAATTCTCCATTGCCAGTCATTCAGCTGAGCTTTGGAGGTGAATACAGGGGCCTTAGTATTTCGAATAGTCCACAAGCCTTCAGCCTTCTTGGAAGCTCAAGCACATCCTCGTCGATGCCAGGTGTCAATAACTATTAGGGTCAACTATCGGTCTTCAACCCGAAACCCTAAGCCTGAAACCTAAACACAGGACCCCTTCAGCAGCGAAGCAGGCGCCTTCTGCTGTTGGTTCCGGTTTCAAATTTGACCTGCAAGAACTAAAGAGTTTAGGGTTTGGGCCGGTTTAAGACTTCAATAGTGTTTAGGGTTTCAGATACATGAACGGTCCGGAACTAGAGGTTTCCAGCTTCCGGGCTTCATGGGTGCATGCTGCCCACTTTAGCGGTTCTGGTTGCTTCTTGAAGGCGAGATGACGGCTTATGGACGCTTACAGCATCCAAAGACTAAGTCGTCTCGTGCTGTCGACAGCTAGCTCTTCTCATATACGCCAAAATCTTTGTGACTTGTGGCATGTCAGTAGATCTTGATATTCATTTCAATTTCCGGTCTAGCAGAAGTGCCCATTCATGAATAACGCCTGCGGGCCCTCGAAAAATCATCCAGTAATCCTGTTCCAGATATGTCGGCTCCTGTCTTCTGGCTTTACCGAAGTGTCTCAAGATGTTCGTGTGGCACCGTCATGGAGTATCCTTAAGAAGCCGTTGACCCTGCTAATTACCCTTGGCTGCCAGCTCAGCAGCCCCAAACTTTCCTTGGTTGAGAGTTCCTACGCTTGAAACCCCGCATCGCTTTGCCGGCGACGCCCAGTAGATCGATCTGGCAGTCTTACTCAGGGTTTAGGGATTAAGGTTAGAGTCCGGCTGTGCGGTTGAGGGTCGAGAAATCAGAGGGTTCATCGTCACCGCAGATAGGTTGGCATTGACATTCGGATTGCCCAAGTTCCTTTCGATAGCGATAGTAGAAGCGACACAGCTGTGGGGTCCAGCCCCTAAACCTCCCATAAACCCTAAGCCGGTCCCCTATGAGCCTGCAGAGACGAGAAGAACTTGTCTGCTCATTCTCGGATTTCGGACCAGGGCTTTTGCATAGGAAAGACTTTTAGGGCTTTATGGTTTGGGGTTTAGGAAGATGTTTAGGGGTTAGGGATCCTGAAAACCAAAGCACAGTCGATATGCCTCGCCCCGTTGTAAAAAAGGGATCCTGAAAAGGACTTCGAACGCTTTGGATCCTCCTGCTTCAGGGATCGACTAAGTTATTTCGCATGGGTTGAACTTGAACCTTCCGGTGCTCCAACCTTTCTACATGCCAGTCATTCTCGAAAGCCCTATAGATTCGATGCCAGCATTCCATCTGCGAAGCTAAGCAATGCTCCGAAAAGCTTCCTTCCAGGTTTCGAAAGTGAAGGCAATGTCCAGACGTCGCCCACCGAGAAGAGCACGTTGCGGCAGTCCACGCTGCGGCAATCCACGATGCGCTCAAACACGAAAGGCAGGGCGTTTCTTGAGGTGCGCTACCTGTTAAGTGCTCGATAAGTAAGCCCCGGTCCCCTAAAGACTGAACCTGAAACCCTGGCGTTAGGTAGGTACGCAGTGCCTCAAAAGGAATCCCATAAGAGCCTGAGGTTCAAAGGGCTCACAGGCGCATGGGGAGCAAGTGTGAGGAAGAGGACCTTGAGGGTAGGTTTTTACGCTTCAGGATCTTGTGGACATTGAGTCTGTTGTGTGTGTGTGTGTCTTTGTGTGTGTATGTGTGTTCTAAGAAGTGCAGGAATGCAGATTGAATGCAGATTCAAAGCAGTGACGGCCATCGTTATCTTGACAATCCCCCTTGCCCCAGTTACCAAAACATGAGTATAGTTTCCTAACCATATATTATATACCCCAGTAGCCTGCGATTTAACCTGAGTCCTAGGGAATGATGACGATGGTAATGATTAAGATGGCACTTTCAGGAGCCACACGGCGCCTGGCTAAGAAGGCCCGGCAGAAGTCTCCAAACTCATATTACTCCGAGACCCACGTATCCCTAAAGGCTTCAATGAAGCACAACAAGCCCCAAACCGTCTAAAGCCGCGACACACTGCGCCGCCACGAAATCTTCACTTAATCTGTGGGACGAAACAATTACCCCTACTATTTTGGAGGTTCCTCATTATAATTCTAGTACAATGGGCCCGTTTTCAAGGCCCCTATATTAACCTTAAACCTTCCTGTGAGGTTCCCTTGCCAACCGGAGTGCGAACCTGAGCTGGCGTGATATCATCACAGCAGTGTAGCTACATTGATTTGTAGTTGTGTATATGCATATACACATAGATATGTGTGTGCATATACGTATATCTGTCTGTCTGTCTGTCTGTCTGTCTGTCTGTCTGTCTGTCCGTCTGTCTGTCCGTCTGTCTGTCTGTCTGTCTGTCTGTCTGTCTGTGCATCTGGAAATGTATCTGCATATGTGTATGTAAATGCCTATGTATATGTAGCTGTATGTACGTATGTATGCATGTATGTACGTATGTATGTGTATGAGTGTTTGGGTATGTGTTCGTATGTATGTGTGTATGTATGTAAGTAAGTATGTATGTATGTATGTGTGCATGTATGTATGTATGTGTGCATGTATATAAACACACACACACACATAAACATAAGCTTTGTTTATATTTGTGCACATAGCCAACAATTCCCCGTCTTCCTGCATGCGGCGCTGTGGTCTCTTGATTTGTGTTTGCTTCCTTGCCGACTACTTATTTTGGGTCACTTGGCAGCGAAGGACTGAAGACTGATGGTTCTGGATTCGGGGTTTACATGAAACGTTTGGCTAGTGACAGATTGCAACGTGCACATGTACGTAAAGGGTTGCGAACATGCAGATTTAGGTTGGGGGCCTGGATGTCTGGGCAGTCATCGTGAGTTCGCTGGCAGCTTCTATGACTCTACTTCAACATTCTTCCCAGACTGGCCGTGGACTCCTGAGATATTTTGAAAAGGGTCCTAACACCCATAATGCAGACCCCAACGCTGTTCCGTACAGCCCTGAGCAGTTGTTTTTCCGGGCCGGTTGCGTCAATGGTTCAGCCGCCAGCCCGTGGGCAAATGGTCCAACGATGTCAAATGCTTCATGAGTGTAAAGGTCCCAAAGGGTCCTGAGTACTTGTATGGCAAACTTATGGCTCCGTAGTAGGGTTGAGTCCCTGGAAACCCGCGAGTGACCAAGCAGTCGCAACCGAGATGCCCAAGTCCCCAGGCTTCGCATCGGAGAAGCGCAGCTATGTTTCCGAAGCGTCCTTGCCACGCCCTCGATTTGGGTTTAGAGTTTAGGGCTGAGGGAATTCCCTTTCTCAGCTTCCTCCTTTTCTCAAACTCAAATCCCCTCCGAAGTGGAAGTATTCTGATTCAGGCACAGTTACATACTGTACCGGTAGCCACGCATGTAGGGTCCTTCTTTAAAGGTTTGAAATTCATGGTGCCGTTGCCGTTTGTGTCGTTTCTTGACTTGCACTGTATGTGGGGAGTTGCTTCGTACGGATGTTACCCTCTAGTTACGCCAAACTCTACCGAACAGGGCTTGTAAAGGAAACTTGGCTTCCAGCACTCAGTTTTCTTGGGGTTTCTCGTTCGGGGCCCAACCTTTCAGAGAACCTTAGAATCTTAGAACATTGGTTCTCCAATATGAGAGTACGTGTTTCACATGTGTGTTCGAGCATGGGGTCCTTGGAATCACGGTGTTGGGGAATGGTGGGCTGAGTTCAGCTCTTGGGGACCGGCTTCAGTCAGGATTCTGGGCAGGGGACTTAGTAAGTAGGTTATAAGTAGAGTTATAAGTACTGTGAATGGAGTTACCCCAATTATAACCCTACTTACAACCTACTTACTAAGTCCCCTGCCCTTCCAAGCAGGATTCTGGGCAGACCCTAAACCAGCAAGCCCAAGAGACCTCGAACCACATGCCTCGCCTGGATTGTGTCCGAGCGTGAGCGCCGAAACCAGAAAGCCCTAAAACCCAAGTCTGGGTTGTCCTTTGGGATTTTTTGATTTCCCTTTACTATTTTGTAGAGAACCATAATGGTAAAGGACAACTCAGAAGTCAAAAGTCCTGAGTTTCGGGTCAAGCTCTGCAACTTCTTTGGGGAATCGGGCCCTCGGATTCAGAACCGAAAGCCAAGGTCGCAAAGCAGCCCATCGTTGAAACGATCTGCGACGTCCGGAGGCTGCGGCTTCGGATTTACTAATTGAGGCCTGATTAATCTCTGCAGTAGTATTCCTTGACATACTCGTTTTGAAATCACACCATGAGGAATCATGATGTCGTCCTTTGTTGGGCTCTTCGTCGACGTCTCGCCCGCATCACCCCAGAACCTTATTCCGATTGCGAAGGCCTCTGAGTAGGTCTACTTGGAGGTTCAAGGGTAGTTATAAGTGGGGTTATGAGTCCCCCTGATAAGGTTTATAAGTATAGTTACCTTACTTATAACCCCACTTCTAACTTATAACTACCCATGAAGCGTCTTTCGACATTTAGAGCTGGCTTTGGGTTCAGGTTGCAAGTGAGCCAGTGGGTGCAGATCCTCGGGTTTATGGCGTTCAGGGCACATGGTCTTAAGGCTTATAAGGGTTTAAGTATAGGCGTCAATATAGCGGGCTTAGAATTTGAGAGTATTCTGCATTTAGTGCGTGCGGTTGCTCATTTACGGGGGTTTGGAACTAGTTTGAATGTTTTTTTTTGGTGGGGGGGGGAGGCGGCGGCGGGGCGGCATTGAGGGCTTATGTTGAGGGTGCAGGGTTGAGAGGGGATTCACGATTTCGGGGTTCGGACAGAGTTGTTTGTTTGTAGTCCCACTCGAAACATGCCTCGGGCCGACCCCAGCCACGAGGAGCCATGTGATCGGAATGTTGCCCAAGAGACCCTGAGCTCGACCCGTGACCTCAACTGATGCTGAATTGCACATCTTGTTTAATTACCTTGTTTTCCGAGTGCAGGATCCGAACGCGAACCATGAGATGCATAGGTTGTCCACAAGAAGAAAAATTAAGCAGACAAGCCACGCGTGGACCCTGGATTGTATTCAAAGAGAGGACTCTTCTTCGAGACGCCTCATTGAAACACAAGAACCAAAGATCTTTTCTCAGAGTTTACACCCCCAGACGCTGCAGAACCATGGAAACCCCACAGAGATCCATTAAGGAATCCGACTAAGCTACACCTAAATCCTCAAAAATCCGTGAACCTTGAAGATGACCTTCAAGCTTAGATTTAGTGTTGACGCCCTGCTAGCGGAATGCTTTGAGGTTTCGGAGGACCGAAAGACACGCTGTTCTTCGGAAAAGAGGTTGGGACCCTTCGAATCCAGGACCGAAGGTGGCTCAGGGCTTGGAGTGAAAAGTTGAGGGTGCCGGGTTTGGGTTGTAGGGTCCAGGGTTGTTGGTTTAAGTCTTAAGGGATTGGAGGGTTTGTCTTGTTTAAATGGTATGGGCATTAGGGCTCATACAGACTGTTGCTTTCCGGATCATAGGTTTCAGGTGCACATTTTTGTCGGTTTCAGGGCTGTTTTGGGGCTTCGGCGCTCAGAAACCAGATTCCTCTGAGGCCTTGATAGTCTGACAGGCTTTTTATATCCTAGGTCCTAAACCCTAACCTTAAACCTTGAAACCGAAGCCCGAAGCGGTTAGCCTGTGTTGAGGATCAAGGTTCCAAGGCTTCCAGCAAATATGTTCGGTTGGATAGCAGCAACACCGGAAACCATAATAAGGATCGCTAAACGGGTTGGCTTTTTCGGCTTCAGGAAGGGTTTAGAACTTGGTCCGGCGCAAAATAAGACTAAGAAGAGCGTCGAAGGAGTTTGATCATGGAAATGAATGCGCGACCTCAATTTCGACGATAGCACAACAGGCTGCCCGCGGCGGCAAAGGCGCAGTCGGCAAACAGGTTTCGCCGAGAAAGGGGCACCGCTTGAATCGAGATCAATGCAGATCAGATGCTTCCACCTGTGCGACCGAAAGCTGCTTTCACAAGAATGAGAAAAGTGCGCCGCTGCTTCACTTCACCTAGGCACCGAATATCTTTGGGCTTGGCAGGGCATGCAGGTAGACACAGGGGAGTCAGCACCGCAAGCGTGCGCCCTGTACCCAACCTGATGTACTTTCAGTTCCCAAACCCCAAGCCCTCAAACTGAGTGCTACCCCCTCTATATCCGACATGGGCCACAAAGGCTGTACTCGAAGTGCAAATCCTTCTGCCTTAGATGTCTTCGGCCGGTGCCGAGAAAATCGGAATATTTGGAGCTTTGAGCAGAAGTGAAGGAAATAGGAGAGTTATCGTTTAGTATGTTTCTGGGCGACCGCATAGTTATGTTGTTAGTAACCGACTACTTATTTCAGAAACTTCAGCCCAGAGGTTTGGTACGTAGGATCAACACATCAGAGTGGACAGCACGTCTGCGGAACTAAATGTCATGGTCTCTAAAAGCAGCTATGTGGTATGTACCGCAGGACATGATTCTGGATCGGGCATACACCTTCCTGGACTATGTCCGTGGCTGCCGCACGCTTGCTTTCCGATACAGAGCCACTGTTGATGTTTTCTTAATGTTAAGTTTCGCTTCCTTGTTTTCGGAAGAGATAGTTGACTTCAATCGGGTATTGGTGCTGGAGAGTTTCTGGAGGGTAGCCCCTGTCCCGACAGAAACCTATGGCGACCCCCATATGTTGTCGTGCCCGTGATCATCTCTTCGCCGGATGAGGCTGAACATATCTTCTATGTGCATCTGTAAGTATGTGTATGTATGTGTGTATGTATGTATATGTATATATATATATATATGTATATATGTATGTATACATATATGTGCACATATACACACCTATATCCAGCCCGAAGACTCTAATCATTGCGAAAGAAGAACCCTGCAAAGGATCTCAAGCCTCTTGAAGCCTGAGCCACTGCTGACATTCGTTGCTCGTGTGCAGCTAAGAACTCCCCGAGGATGCAAACAGGCGGACAGCCTACGATCTGCTACGTATCCTTATTCTGGCAGTTTAAAAAGCTGCATTGCATACTGTAGGCCCCTGATTAGTAAACCGGTTTCCCTGTAGCAAAAACCATAGCAGACATCCTAGTGTTGAGGCCGTTTGGGGAGGTGGTTTAATGACTCCGATTCTTGCCTGAACAATGACCGGGAGTTCATCCAACATAACCCGTCCATGCCAGTGATCTCGGCTGGTGAACTGCTTGAGCCCTGCTAAAACAGCTTGGATAGTCATGTCATACTCCAAAGCTCTGTTCGCAACACGATGCGCGGCCCTATAGCAAAGCCATGCAAAAGCCTACAAACGACTTTGTAGATCCCGCTAACGCACCTGTTAAACAAACCGTTGTCAACTTCCCGAAGGCCCCTTTTCTGAGGCTCGCCAGCATTTCGCACCCCATGTTGCCAAGCAGAGAGGGTCGAAACCCGAAAGCCCTTTTGGCCTGAATCTGCAGCCCCTTTGGCGCCTGAAGGCTTCGGCGCTCACGGGTTCAGGCTTGTAGGGTTCAGGGTTGACGGCGTCCCTCAGACATGAAGTGCCAAGCTCGTGTTTCGTTCTTGCTTTTCCTGTTCATGCCAACATACCTCTTTGGGCGAGTAAACAGCTTGAAACATTATATACTCTCTGTTGGCAACAATAGGATTGTCAAGATTAGCGTCGGGAACGACAATACTTCCGGTTTACACTGACCAGGCAAAAGCTAGAAGCCAGAACTGCCGGAGTATTCGTTTGTAGCCATATCAAGAACGGAATACACCACTAGCGAATTCGCAACTAGTGACTAGGTGGCGGTGGCGCTTTGAGATGGCTGTTAGTTCATTAGTTCGCCATATGGCCTTACAGATGTACTTATTTATGCAGTATAGGTAAGTCCCTTTGTAAACCCATCTGATAGCATAGCCAATCCTGTTTTTTGCAAGGGCTCAAAAACCAGATGAACATCAGATGAGAATTTAATAATTTCAGCCAACCTTGTTGAAACTCCGAGCCAGTGTTTGCAACTTTGATACGCCCCGGTGAAAATCTGATGAAAGCCTGACTGTCTGGCCAGGAGGGGGCCTCGAGTTGCGCATGATGTTGGGGATCGACTTCACTCGCAGCAATGCCGCAGCCTTAGCAGCATGTAGGTTTAGGGTTTTGGAGTTTATGTCGAGGGTAAGTGGGTTTAGGGTGTATGGTTTTACTGTATGTATGATCAGCTCGACTCGTGTTTCCACGGATCTAAGTGCCTGAGACACATTCAGGCGCGATATAGTGGTTGAGACCTGCGCAGTGTCCTGCATGTCTGCCATAGCTCTGAACCCAGACTCTAAACCAGCCCGAAACGAAGGATGACTAGATCATGACTGACTATCAGTGTGGTTCCCACCATGGCCGTGGTAATCGCGGTCTTAGTGGCACCGCCACCGCCTTCATTCCAACAGTTGTTCTTACGCACTGTTGGTTTTTAGCGACCAGTCCACGGAGGGCCAGGGTGAGGGCGTTATTGCAAAAGTGACCCATGTTAGCTCCCTCCCTGCTTGACGCTGCCCGACATCTTGTAAGGGGAGCGCTGCAGATTTCCCTAAGCCCCAAAGCCCAGAGCGAGCAAAGGAGTTCCACATGTCATGGAAAGGTGGTGCAAACGGCAGCGCGGGATCTATGTCTCAAATTTCAAAGAGCCCTCCACGGTTAGGTGTGAAACCCGAAGGATGTTAGGAAGGGCTCAGGCTTCTTCGTCATCTTCGTAGTCCGTGCTGTTTGCTCCTCTTCCTTCTGCCGAGGATGGAAGTCCTTAGCTCTACACCCCACAGCCTTATATAGTATAATGCATTACAGTATAGTATTTTTTATTCTGCATATTAGAGTATATTGCAGTGTATGTGTAGTATGTGAGCGCAGTCGATAGTGTGCTTATCGAACTGGATCACGAAGCCTAGCAAGACAGAGAACTCCATCGGGTTTCGGCATCCCGATGCGCCCAAAACTGACCGTAAAATGTCCACTTACAGTTTCCATTGTAGTTCCTTTTTGGAGTTACCTTGGCTTTGTTTATCTTAGGACAGCTTTAAGTCTGGCTAGCCGATAAATGCTATAACATTGCAGACGGCAGCTCAGGGGTTGCATCTAATCTCCTCAGGCTGCTTGAGCCTAGAACTCAGAGCTGTAATCTGGCAGCGGCATCCCAAATCCCAAGCCCAAAACCCAAAACCCAAAACCCTCAAAAGTACGACCCGGCAGGGCACCAGGATCAGAGCCCACCAAAACAAATCGAAACACGAACAGAAACCCAAAACCCCAAACCCTAAACCCTAAACCCTAAACCCCAAACCCTAAACCCTAAACCCTAAACCCCAAACCCTAAACCCTAAACCCCAAACCCTAAACCGCCTAAAGCTGGCTCTGAACCCCCAAGTCCCATCCCGAAGTTCGTAGTAGAGGGCCCTAAAAAATTACCAATACTATTTTTTTGGGGGTTCCTTATTAAAAGTGTAGTATAATGGGCCCCAAATGTAGAGGGACCGAAAAAATACCAAGACTATTTTCGGGGGTATTAAAAGTATAGTATAATGGGCCCCAAAAGCCTATTCTTGGTATTAAGGCCTCTCTATAGTAGGTTCACTGCCCATCACAACAAAAACCGACAGATGGACAAGCAGAACCCGGATTCGCTCCACAGCCCAGACCTGAGGGCGGCTTTCTCGTTTGCTTTTGCTGCTGCGCGCTCTGTGTGTGTCTGTGCGTGTGTAGAACCGTATCTTCTCGATGTGATAAACGAGGGTTTACTGGCAGTTCTACGGATAGCTTGGGGCCCCACTTCGTGAATAACAGATATTGTGAATAGCTCTTGAATGATTCGCTCAAATCTGCGACGGCTGTGCTTGGGGTTTACTGTCGACTCGGTAAGCTGTGGGACAGCATTCGCCGGGGCCAAGTAAACCAGGGTTTGGGTGGAGGGTGTCCAACTTATGATGCGATAACAGGGCAAACATGTCCGATATTGCTGGTTCAATGATGGTACAGCACAGTCTTGGCACTAGTTTGTCGCGACTTCGCAAGGTCGTGTGACGGGTTATCCTCACCCCACGCGGATATCAAAATTCCAAGGCCCTGCATCCTGGAGAGAAGCGCCAGCCATCCTCCTTTTAGCTCGGGCACTCATGCCCTGCACCCTAAACCCCATGAGCGCTAATCCGCTGCATGCTAGACCCAAAACTCCGAACTTGAACAATCTTTGAAAATTGTTAAGGTTTTTCGGGCTTGCGATGTGTGGGGCCCTTGTTAAACTTGGTTATATACGTTGAGAAGGCAAGGTTGCCGGAAGAGATGTCAAAGTTGGCTCATCATGCCGGGTTCTGGCCGATGGTATCCCAACCTGTAGTCTCCATTGTGGTTCCCTTTCTTGTTTTAGCAAGCTTCTTGAATTAGGACCCTATAAGGCAACCAAAGGCAGCCAAAAGAATGGTGGAGAGAGATAGTCAGATAGATCCTGAGCATGCCATCACATACACTGCCGAAGTAATCACACCTGTATCTCTCTTGCCGAGGCCTAGTGGATATGGACCTTCCCACTTCCTATGAGACTGCGATTATCGCCCTTGGGAGCGTTTTGAGGCGAGACTAGAGTGAATAATTTGATTTCCCTTAAGGTTTCCAAGTAGAATGACTCGTATTTCAGTTCCTCCGTTTCACTTGCCCCTCTGCCAAAAACCCATGACTCAATAAGAATACCTTCAGCCATAGCACAACTCGAGAAAATGGCCTGGAGAGTGCGTTACTTCGTGGTGTAGGGCGTTGGTGGTTACTATCCGGATTTCCAGTTTGGGGTTTGAGGGTGAAGAATGGCATTTAGCGTGCGGTGTTGGTAGCTGCAAAGATTGCAGCCCTGAGCCCTGCAGCGTGTTTCTGCTGTCCAGCCACAGCTACTGGGTCGGTGGTCTATGTTAGATGATATCTCGGAGTGACTGCAGTTACTGGCTGTGATCACTGGCTGATCGCTGGGCCTAAGTGAAGGGCTGGGGCTGGGTTGTGACATGGTTTGACGGTTTGGGGCCCCGGCTGAGACTCACTAGGCTCCCTCGACTTTCGGGTTTGTCATATGCTTCAGCGGACGAAAAGGAGCCCTCAAGAAAAAAGGCTGTGGTGGTTCTTTCTCTTTGAGGTGTCCTGGGTTGCTAGATGACGTCTCACCTAAAGTGTGTTCGTAGTGGCAGGCCTGGATTGTCCAGGATCATGATGCTTGAAACGAAACCCTAACCCTAAACCTACGACCTCAAACCGAACGAGCTATGATACTACGACCTCAAACCGAAGGAGCTATGACACTACGACCTCAAACCGAAGGAGCTATGATACCACGGATGAGTATGCCGTTTACGGCTTCGGGGCGAGGATCCCGCCCAGTCACTCTGCAGGGATGCCTAGCCAGGATGAGATCTCCGGTCTGTAAAAAAAGGGGCCTAAAAAATTACCACTGCTTTTTTGGGGGTTCCTTGTTAGACGTATAGTCTAATGGGCCCCTGTATTATGGTTAGAAGTATAGTCTCATGGGCCCCAAAACCCTATTCTAATTATTAAAGCCCCTATATTAGGTGGCGATCGGCTCTCGCCCCCCCCTTTTTGAGAACTGAAAGGGTTTAGGCCGCTGAAATGTATGACCCCCAAACATGCTCAGACCATACGACTGTAGGAAGCTGATTAAGAAACCTTGGGCTTTTTTTAGGTTCTACATACCGAATCCTACTATTCTAGGGTTATAGGCCCATGGTTTCTTGACTGGAAGTGAGGGCTATAGGGTAGTTAGTTCCTGTACAGTTTGCATGTTACTGACGTTTTGGCTCAAGGCCAATTGCAGAAGCCTAAAAAGTGCTTTCATGGTAGCGGAGCAATCCTGGATGGGTTGCTGCTGTGCTTGCAGAAGAAGGAGAGCGCAGCGCGAGAGAGCCAGGGCCAATTGGGTCCGATTGATTCAAAAGGTAAGGAAGCTGCGGAAGCTTCAGCGTCTTTTCCACAACACTGGAGTGCGGCTCCAGGATTTTCCAAGAAGGTTGCTTGATCGCCTTTCGAGGCATTTTAAGAAAGACTGATGTCTCAGCCGGGAAGTCCCACAGGAGTGGGGGCTACCCAAGGAGAGGAAATGTTACTGAGACTGCTTCAAGGGCAGCAAGAGCAGCTTCAGAGGCTGCAAGAGATGATGGGAGCCCAGGTTCATGGGCAACAGCAGCTTGCAGCTGCAACGCAGAGCTTTGCTTCGGCTAGTTCGGCCACAAAGGGACGTGGCTTGATTGATGTGAAAGCTGTGGGGCGACCGAGCCAGCTGGGCGGTACATTGGAAGAAGCGTCGCGCAATTGGCGCCAATGGTCGTATCGTCTTGAGCTTTGGCTAGCCTCGCAATTTCCGGATGCTAGGAAGATCCTTGCTTGGGTCAAGGAAAAGGGTGATACCGAGATTCCTTTGGCAAGCCTGGAGTCGACTTCGATTACGGGCGTTGCCAAGGAAGCGGTGCTGGAATTTAATCGCCAGCTTGAGGTGGTGCTTGGGACGCTTACCAGCGATGCGCCTGGGGACATCACGATGAATAGTTCGACTGGGTCAGGTTTGGACATGTTCCGGCGGCTGCACGCCCGCCTGGATCCATCGGATATGGTCACCAGCATGAGGTGGCTAAGGTCACTTATGAGCACTTCGGCGGTGGACTCCGTCACCGACCTGGTGCCAGCCATTGAAAAATGGGAGGATGCTCACCGGCGGTACAGCCAGCGAAAGGACTGCGCACCTTTGACGGAGCAGCAGAAGATGGTTTCTTTGATCGGCCTCGCGCCGTCTGAGCTTCAGGGCCACCTGGAGCTAAACCTGGGAAGGCTCAGCAGCTATGAGTTGCTGAGGAGAGAAATGGTGTCCTTTGCGGATACCAAGCGGGCCTTTACGGCCACGGACGGTGCTGTGCCAATGGAGGTGGATGCTTTGAAGGGTGCCAAAGGACCGAAGGGAAAAGGAAAGAAAGGAGACAAAGGAAAGGACAAGGCCAAAGAAACCAGGACCTGTCACATATGCCAACGCGTAGGTCACCTAGCTAGGGACTGTTGGTATAAGGATAGTAAGGGTAAAGGTAAAGGAAACCCGAAGGACCCTAAGGCTCAAGCGGGCAAGGGTAACAAGAACCGGCCAAAGGGCCGAGCCAACGAGCTTGACGGCACGGAGGGCGGCGCCATGGATGGGGCCGGCGATGCCGAATATGAAGCCGAAGAGCCTGATGAGGAAGCCGAGTTGGGCTTTATAGGGGCTCTGGATGGCGAGGGCGAAGCTGACCCTGATGGGGACCCTGCCGATGGCAGGGAAGATGGAAGCGGAGGTGATGGAGCGCTTCGTTCCTCACCTGGTGCCGACACCTCTGGGGCCGGGAGCTCCACGGATCCCCCGGCACCCAAGGCTAAAGCCAAGGCGGGATCAGCCAGTTCCACCCCAGTGGGCCTAAGGATGGCCGATATGAGTGTGCTGAACAAGCTTCAGGAAAGGCGAAGGGAGCTTGAAGCTCAGATCGCCGAGGTGGAAGCCAAGGGCAGTGAAGGTGACCAAGGGGAGCTCACCATGCACCGGCTGATGCTGGATATGGTTAAGGGTCAGATCAAGAGGGCCCAGGAGCTCAAAAGGAACCGAGAAGAAAGGATCTCGGCTAGGCTTCAGGCCGACCTGAATGCGGGTCACAACCCGCGGCTGGCAAAGCGGAAAGAAAAGAGCCGCCAGAGAGCGGCCAAGCACCGACAAAGCCTCAGGCTAGGGCAAGCCAAGGCACGAGTTAGAAGGGAGGAAGCCCTGGAGAGGAGGTTCAATATACCCGAGAGGCCACGCAAGCAGGATGAATATCCGTTGCTACCCAGTGCTGGTTCCAAGGTGGCTGCACCACCCTCTCGCCGGGAAAAGGCTATGATGAGGGGCGAAGGCGAGGACCGCGAGCACTCTGGGGATGAGCTCGACGAGCCCAAGGAAAGGGACTGGAGTGCCAAGCCTCGGCGGCTAACGCCAGAGGGCCGCGAAGGCAAGAGGCTGCGAGAGCAGAAGAGGAAGAAAAGAAGGGCTCAGGAGATGAAGGAAGAAGCGGGTGGTGGACCGCCTCGGTCCCCACCGGCGGGGGTTCGCGGAACCGACCGGCCCAGTGAGCCGAAGGGGCCACCGCCTAAGCTGCGGCCGACCCCTAAGGTTCGGGCGACGCCCAAAGAGCCGAGTACTCCGCCACCGGGCCATGAGTCGAGAAGGAAGAAGAAGGAAGAGGAAGAAGAGGACCTGGTGGAGATGGTCTTCACCTTCATCGACGGCTCGGGGGTTGTGGTGCGAAGAAAGGGCATCTCCGAGCTCACCCTCAGCCAGAAAAGAAAGGTGGAGGAGGCAATCGCCTCTGCACCTTGGAGGGCCGAGCCCAAGTCCCGAGGCAGGCCCCAGCTGAACAAGTACAGCCAGATGTACTCGAGGTTTGTGAACTACCTCAAGGGCTACCGACCAGCCCTGCCGGAGAAGCAGATCCGCCGCAGGGGCCTTGCGAAGCAGTACCAGGCTGCAACCCGGTTTCGCGCAAGGGTTGGAATCCGGAGGAAACTCCGGGCCCTGGCCCCAAGGGGCACGGTGGGCGAAACGATCGCCAACCGGGACCTGGATGATGACAGCGACTGCCACTCGTGCCACAGCAGGCGTGTGAAGACGACCGAGCCTGCAGACCGCTTTTACAAGAAGCGGCGGGCAGCAAGGGCCAAGCAAAAGGCCAAAGAGCTCCTGAGCGAAGACGAGGAAGAAGACCAAAGGGGTTACGATGACCCCGACACAGACTCAGACCCCGGCCACCGACCTTTGGGCCGTGGGCCAAGGAGCCCACCAGGCGGTGGGGAAGGAGCCAAGGAGGCCGTGGTGTACTCCTTTGAGCCAGGGTTTGGTGGGGCCGCTTCGGCTACCACCATCCAAGTGATCCTGGATAGTGGGGCGAGCCACAATGTGATCCCACAAGAGTGGGTGAAGCACCTGGAATGGGGACCCGCCGAAGGACCGGCAGGCTTCCGCACCGCAGACGGAAGCTGGCTGCCAAACCTCGGTACGGCCGTGGTGTCTTTGAGGTCGACCGAAGGGTTTTCCTTTAAGGTCCGGTTTTGCGTGGCCTCGGTGCAGCGTGCGCTTCTCAGCGCGACCCAAGTGCTGAAGCTTGGGCACACGATCGTCCTGAAAGGATCGAGAGCGGTGATCCGTGTGAAAGGAAGCGAGGAGAAAACTTTGGTGTTCAAGATCCTTGGGTCGCCTAAGGCGACGTTTGCTTTCAAGGGTTTCCCGCGGCACTGCCCGGAGGAGTGCAGGTAAGCCCAAAGGGAGGCCGGAAGCCCGAAAGCGTTTTCACCCACCTTGCGGTAGCTCAGGGAGTAGGTGCTGTAGATGTACAGAAAAATTCGAAAGTTTCACCTGACAGCCATTTTGGCGCGGTAGGAAAAGGTAGTGTTTTTCATCTTCCTAGGCCCCCTCCGGTAGCTAGTTCTCCCGACCACTTTTTCATAGGATCGGAAGGAGAAGAGGACAAAGCCGAGGAGGAAAGAAGCAAAGCAAAGGAGAAGGCAAAGGAAGAACCAAGAAGCCCAACGCGCAAAGCAAAGGAAAAGCCAAGAAGCCCAACACGCAAAGCAGAGGAAAAGCCTAGGTCTAACTCGGGCAAGAATCGATCTGGATCCCTTTATGTGGGTGAAGCCGGCGGTGCTGATCCACCAAGGGAGGAAGCTGCTTCAGCGACCTCCCAGCCACAGGTCGATGAGGGTCAGTCTGCTCAGCCGTTGGCCCGGCCAGACCGACCAACGCCCGAGATGATAGCAGCTCATGAGGTTTCCCACGTTCCATACAGGAGTTGGTGCAGAGCCTGCGTTGCAGGTCGTGGTCGAGCCTACCAGCACAAAGCCTCGGGTCAGGAGTCCACGGTGCCTGTCATCAGCATGGACTACCTCTACTTCAATGAGAGGACCGATGGCGCTGGACTGCCCACCATAGTCCTTCGCGATCGCCACTCGAAGGCTATCTTCTCGCACCTCCTCCCGTGCAAGGGAACGACCGGATCTACGCACCCTGAGCGAGCTATCTTGAAGGACCTTGAATTCCTAGGGTACAAGAAACTGGTCCTAAAGAACGACCAAGAAGCTTCTATCAAAGCTCTATCTCTCGCTGTTCGCAATGGCTTCAGTGGGGAGATTGTTCCGGAAGAGTCACCTAAGGGGGACCACCACGGGCAGAGCAACGGGGAAGCTGAGAGGTCCGTTCAGACAGTGCAGGGTTTAGTGCGGACCCTGAAGGCCAGTTTGACCGAGAAGGGCATTACCCTTGAACCCACCTCAGCCGTGTTTGCCTGGATGATTGAATATGCTGGTGTGCTGCACACCCTGTTCAGTCAAGAGCTCCATGAAGGGTTGACGCCTTTTCAGCGAATAAAGGGGCGCAAGTGGCAAGTGGCTTTGCCATGCTTCGGTGAAGCTGTGGACTACCGCCGCAATACGCGCTCAAAGCTGGATTCGCGATGGCAATCTGGAGTTTATCTGGGCCTACGTCTGCAAAGCACGGAGAAGATCGTGGGGACCAACCAAGGGATCTTTGTGGTCCAGAGCATCAAGCGGAAACCCGAGGGCCAACAATGGGATTCCGACTTGGTCAAGGCAGTTCGTGGATTGCCCTGGAAGACCTCACCGGACGAGACTGGAGATGGTGCTCGATTACCCGAGCCACTGACCGTTCGAGCTCAAGTTGAGGAGGGACTGCCTCCACCTGCTCGCGAACTGGTTAAGCCCGAAGTAGCACCCTTCAGACGTACCTACATCCGCCAGTCTGACCTAGACAAGTTTGGGTATACGGCTGGATGCGAGGCATGCTCAGCAATCCGTGAGGGTCGAAGGAGAACAGGCATCAACCATACTGAGCACTGCCGCTCAAGGATCATGGAAGCCCTAAAGGATTCAGAAAGCGGAAAGGCCCGACTGGAACGCGAAGAGCAGCGTGAGAGTGAATTCTTCGATAAGGTGAACAAAGCAGAAGAGAAGAAGAGGAAGGTGAGTACTGAGCAGGAGGCGTCCTCTTCCACAGACCCTCCAGCGGCCCAACCTTCCAGACCTCTGACCATTGCTCGCCAACCGCCTTTGAGGCCAGAGGTTCCGAGCGAACCTAGCTCTCTGCCACCTGGTGGTGCGGCTGCTTCAGCTGCGCCCAGTGGGGGCCAGAAGAGAAAGAGTGAAGGCGGGGGGGACGAAGGTCGTGCCGAGCTGGCACCTCCTGACGCAAGGTCCGAAGGTCAGAAGCGCAGATCACCTGAGAATGCCGAAGGCATGATCGAAGAGCTCATTCTTCAAGAGCGCGAAGGTTTCATTGCCAGTATCGAAAACGAGGAACAACCCACGTGCGACTTAGAGGACGACTTGTGGGAGGAAAAGTTCTACGACGAGAATACTGGTAAAGAGCTTCCCGCCGAAGGTGTCAAGCAAGCTCGCATGGAGGAGATCCAAGTTATCAAAGACATGCAGGTTTGGGAGCCGATTCCAAGACCCCCTGGCGAACGGGTCATCGGCACCAGATGGATTGACATCAATAAGGGGGATGATCTTCGAAAGAAACTGCGCTCAAGGCTGGTAGCACAAGAACTGAAGAGAAAGAAAGGAGTCAACGAAGATCCGAGCTGGACCGAGTTCTTTGCGGCAATGCCGCCATTGTCCTCATTGAGGGCTCTCTTCACACTGGCTACAACTGGGCGCGTACCCGGCCCAAACAAGAAAGCCTTCCAGATGAACGAGCATGGTGAAGTCTGTGTGCTGTTCATTGATGTGAAGAAAGCTCACTTCTGGAGTCCAGTCAGGAGGCGACTCCTCGTGGAGCTCCCACCAGAAGCGGGAGAAGGACCTGACAAGGTCGGCCTTCTCAAAAGGAGTCTCTACGGAACCCGTGATGCACCGAGCAACTGGGAACATGCCATCAAGAAAGTAATGACCGACTTGGGTTTTAAGCAAGGGGTGTCCAACCCGTGCCTTTACTTTCACCCTGAGCATGGCTTACGTTGCAATGTGCATGGAGACGACTTCACAGTCGTCGGGGGCTACAACAAGCTTCAATGGTTGATTGAGTCACTTCAGAAAGCGTGGACAATTGAGGTGCGAGGAATCTTGGCACGGCCCGGCTCGAGCCTGCCAGGAGTTACTCACAGCATCTATGTGCTGAACAGATTGGTCACGTGGACCAACGAAGGGATTGAGATGGAAGCCGATCCTCGGCACGTGGACCTGGTGTTGGAACACCTGGGTTTGAATAACTCCAGCCCTGTTACCACACCACTTGTTAAGAGCACAGGGGATGAGGATGAAAGTCCACTCTCCAAGGAAGATGCTGGACTCTATCGGTCCATAGCAATGAGAATTGGGTATCTGTCAAGCGACAGACCCGACATGCTTCGGACTGTGAGGGAACTTGCTAAAGGCCTTAAGGAGCCCTGTTGAAGGTGTTCACCCTGGGTGGCCATACCCTGCAGCGAAGCTCACGCAGAATGTTTTCTATGGCTGGGCGCAGAGGCGACTCACGATCTCAACGAAGCAACAAGAGAACCGACAAACCAACAAACGACCTGTACAGCTTTACAAGTTGTTGGTTACAGTACACATGGCTCAAGAGGCTTTCCTACGCAGCCTTCCCCTAAGCCAAAGGATACAGGAAACACACATGTACAAGCCTACCTGAAGGAAACTATACAAGTGCCGGCAATCCCTTCAAGCAGACTACACACCTGTCTAACCTGATACCTGGGCATGCAGTGAGAAGCATTTCAACACTCCTCCTTGCTAGAGCCGACAGGCAACTAGCACACGCTGCACTATTTACAGCATGCCCGTTCCTGGGACCTCTAGCCTTGAACCTTGGCTTGCCTTTAGAGACCTGTGCGGTGGCGGTCTCTGCAAACACGGCACAAGTTGCGGGTAGTTAAGGGTGTATTACGCCTTAAACCCCAACAATTAGAATCTAGATGAACACAATCCCCGTGCGCAGTGAAGTAAAAGGGACCTTGGGGAAGTTCATACTGCGTGCGGATTTCGATCCTGGCAGGCATCGGATCTGGTGGGACTCCTGTGACTGGTTGGAAAGCAGGCTCACGATCCGTTTGAGTAGACTGCTCACGCACTGCAGGGCGGCGACGAGACTGTGTGGCCTTGGGCCGTGGTGCAGCAGGCAACTCGTGGGAGGACTGCGAAGGCACAGGTGCCCTCTCGTTGTGAGCTGTGGACTCACCTGCTGGTGGTCTGGAAGACACGTCCTCAAGACTCATGCCCTGCAGTTGGGCAGCAAGCTCATCCTCAACAGCTCTCTGCATACGCCTCAAACGACGGGCTCGACGAGACGACGCATGCGAACCAGCCCACCACGCATCAAGCCGATCCCACAATCTCTTCAACCACTCCCACACAACAAGGACACAAACCAATGCCATGCCAAGAACGAAGTACAGCTCCAGGGATCCATCAAGCTGCAAGCCAGGATACTCGGATTCACGGCTTGAGCTTCGTGCAGGTTGGATTTGAAGCAAACACAACAAGGCACTCAACGCGACTGGGTCGACAGCTGCTGACGAGCTCGGCCTGACCTCTCGGTCGGCTGTATCACCCGCAAAGTCACGCATGCCCCATAACCTGACAAGCTCTTCAATCCTTGCAGACGGAAGAGGTTTGGTCAGTAGATCTGCAAGCTGTTCCACACCCGGGCAGAAGGCAAGCCTCAGCTTCCCAGAGCGAGTCTGCTCACGAAGGTACTCAGCTCTTACCCGTAGGTGTCGCGTTCTCCATGATCCATGACCGTCAGAAATCGCAAGTGACGCTTGGGAATCAACGTGCAAAACCCTTTCTTCCGCAACGTCAAAACCAACCGTGTGAAGCAACGCCTCAATTGATTCAAGCGCGATTGCACACTCAATCGAAGCAGTGACCCAGACCACCGTTTGGATCTATTTATTAGATCCAGGCAGTCCTGGTTCTATTTTTAAGATCCAGAAGCTGCTTCTGGATCTAAAAAATTCAGCTATGGCTGTGTCGATCTTGTAAGCTTTTGACTGGTTGCATGCAGGAACTCGGAGCGTGGATTAAAAAAAAAAACAAACCCTAGAGTCCCTAACATCTTTTGTCGATCGGCGTTGTCTTTGAATGCGTGTGCTCTGCTTGTGGCCCTACCGGAGGGGATACCTGGCACTTAACAAAGGATCCTCTCACACCATTGGCCGGGTGTGGGGCGATGGCTCGCACCGCCCGTGAAAGTGGTCGCTTTGAGGCCAACGTGCCAGTGCCGGCACATGACAGCGGGACGATGCGCTAACGTGCCACGCTGGGGCGGCCAGCTTTCCGGGCTCGACGGGAATCTGTTGAAGTGTGCGAGCCATCAAGCACGGGAGGCCTTCCATGCTCATGATTGCATGCCCCCCCCTCCCCCCAAATCGCACAAACCTTTGTGCATGTCACCCAGAACCGAAACCTGCGCAAAACCGAAACACAAATGTCTGCAAAGCATCATGACAAAAATCGTTTCGGTTCTTCGAATGCAACCTGTCTCAGATTCAAAGTTTGGCGTTCGGTGCTGATTCGAATTTCTTCGAAAGATAATAAGCCAACCTTGCACCGACGCCGAAACAACAAGAGCCCGAGTGATTAAGTTCCCGGAAGTTCTGGTCTTAAGGTGCAGTTTCAGAGTCTCGAGGGAAGCAACAATTATTGGGCAGAAATGCATGAGACGTGACAAGAAGGACCCAGCAAAAGATAGAAACGTCGAAACAAACCTGTGTTGAAGTTACAGGTACATATCAATCTCCCGGCTTTTGCATTCATGATCTTGGCACACTAGGGTTGATTTGTATATAGAGCTTTGCGATACACTTGTATTTGTTACTGTTACGGGTATCGCGGCTGTGTTGTGCGAATTGTTTGGCCTCGGCGAGTCTGCTCATGCACAGATTTATTGCAAGGCTCTGCATGTCGCGGCCGGGGTTTAGATCTTAGTCTGGCGATCTTTGGGTCACAAAGGCTTCGTGGCATCGCAGGATCTAGCAGCTTAGCTGGGATCATTTATTCCGCTAGCCTGATTCGTGCTGATCGTGAAACATCAACAGCCCAGGAGGACCATTTCAAAGCAGAAAACTCGAGTAATTTCCGAATCATATTTAGCATATAGGTATCTGTTGCATCACTGTCAGAGGCCCTCTCCAGGTTTTCAGAGAAGCTGTGACGACCGCCGTGCCCGCTCACCTTGGATGGATCGCAGCTCGAAAGTTGACTGCCCTGAATGCCTGCTTATGTTTACACGTAGAGGAAGTAGTCAGTGATCGGGTCCTGGCCTAGTGGCCGATGGTTATACGTAGGCTCCAGGACTTTGCAGGGCCAGTCTGGGGCATGAAACTTCGCTGAAAGCATCAGAATCTACATAGCCTCTACATGTAGATGCCGCTGAGTAAGAAGCCCTCCGGCAATGTGGCGGCAACTGGACGAAGCAAGGGCTGCGTGGATTCGTTTGGGTTGGCCGAAGCCTTGAAACCCTGGGCCTGTAAGAAGAACTTCATCTCCTACACAACGGAAAGGAATCTTGACAGCATGCATGGATTTGCTACAGACTCGCAGGCCAGTCTTGTGTGACTGCATGGTCGTACTTAGCGGACTTAGCGAACTAAGGGACGTCAAGCACAAGGACGTCCCTTCGCTGAAGGCTTATTTGGAGTATCTTCGGGCTGTGCAAAAGGTGGATCGTACGTTCAACTTCCCCCACTCGACTATCTGCAACGCCTTGAAGGTGATTGACAAGGACTCGACCCCCAACTGCAGTAGAAAGAAACCCCCCGTGGCCATTCTTCTTAACACTGACAAAACAAGCTGCTCGTGGAGGAGCTCGATCATCGTGGTGGCGATTCCTGGGCAGAGACGAATGCACTACGGCTCAGCGCTGCATTTAGACACGTCTCCCAGGAAGCATTGCGATGTCGCAAGTGGTTGCCACAGGAGCCATTGAGTGTTCAATTAAGGGCTCGCTTCAGCTTGTAAATATTGCATAAAGGGCTTGCAGGGTTAGTTGGGAAATTAGAAAATTATTAGGTTCGTCTTATGTAGGCGGCATCTCGAAGGGGTACCATCTGCAACTATGCAACTAACTGGTTACAAGCGAGGATTAAAATAAATATAGCATCCCCAACTTTACTTACTATGGCCAATGATCCTTCTGACCAGACTACAAGTTTGTGACGGTATCAAAACTGGGGCTGTGATGGGGTGTTAAGGTGGTCGCAGGATGCCAGGATTTTGCTTTCAAGGCGAAGGCTTCTCCCGACTGTATTTTGCCCAAGTCCTAAACCCTCACCGCTCGAACCCCACTCTCTAAACTTAAGCTCTAGGACTCTAGAATCGACGACGAGGCTGCTACTCCTGTTCCTACTCCTAGTCCTTCTCTTCTGCTTATGCCGTTGCTGCTGCTGCTGCTGCTGCTTACAACAATTAATATTATTGCTATTACGATTACTTGCATTACTATAACTCTTAATGCTTGTGCTCCTCCTACTCCCACCGCCACAACCACCGCCCTCGGCTGCTGCTGCTATGCTGCTGCTGCTGTGCTTACCGCCGTCCATGACGACGACGACGAGTACTAGTGCTTGGTAGATCGGTACTACACCACGGTCACCTGCATCTCCCCATGTAGCCATAGGCAGTGACTATCATCACCATCCCATCGCCAGCATCGTCACACGAATTTGACATGAGGTTTCAGGCCCTTGAAATCATCAACTTCGTAATGAACTCAAAATCCCTCTTATGCCGCACACGAAACATGACATGTTCCACTTGGGCATCGAGAACCCTATGATAGGCCCATCGAGAAATTCGTGTTGTGTTTAGTAACTGCTGCTGCTGCTGCAGGACATGTGGACTGGAAAAGAGAAAAGCAAAGCAAACGAGACGAGCAAGAAAAGGAAGCATGCAAGCAGCCCTGCCAAAGCAAAGAAAGCGCCAAGTCAGGAAGAGGGTGAGGAGGATCAAGTAGAGCAATGTGATGAGGAAGGCGGAGAAGAGGAAGAGGAAGAACATGATCCTGAGGTTGCCGTGCCCCCTTCTACGGCTCCCGACCGCGAGACAAAGCCCGAGCAGCCCAGCAAACAGCAGCAAAACAAAGCGCCACAGACGGATGCGAGCAAGAGCGAAGCAGCAGCAACATGCACTGCACCACAGACGGATGCCAGCAAGAGCGAAGCAGCAGCAAAATGCACTGCAGCCAAGTCTGAACCGGGCCCTAAGAAAAGACCCTCCGAAAAAGATGACAGGCTCAGGCGGCTCCAATCCAGGGTTCGTAGAGCTCAAGAGGGCAGCACGGCAATGCCTTGCAGACAGCCCGCCAAGACCCGTCCGAAACACGTCGGCTACGATTTCTTCGAAGATGCTATCATGAAGACTAGCCCTACACTTTGTAACTGTTCTCAGGTTCATGGTACTTTCAGATAAAAGAACAGATAATCAAATGAAGTTGTTTGAAGGAGTTCTCATTGATTCTGCATCTCAGGATGATGGGAGGCCACACGCCTTTCAATCTTCGAGCTCGGGTGGAACCCTGGCAGCACTCGCTCGAGCAGCACGAGGAACGAACGAGCTTGTGTTTCATTGTGGATCATTGCACATGAACCTTAGAAGTTCGACATGTGCAGTGGGAGGGGCCTGCGGTTTCTATCTATGTACGTGCCTTTGCATCTACCGACTTTTTCGCTACCGTTCCACCTTTCTACCTACCTACCTACCTATCCCTATACCTCCCTCTCTCTACCTCTACCTGCTTACCTGCCTATCCCTACCTATGCCTCGCTACTTACCCAGACCGACCTACCTATACCTAATATATACCTACACACCTATAGGTATATAGGTATATACGTATATATATATATATATATATGTGTATATATATATATATATATATATTAAGTATACCTACATATACCTATATATACCTATATATACCTATATATACCTATACATACCTATATATATATATATATACACCTATACATATATGCCTGCCTACCTACCAACCTACCTCTGTATATATATATATATATATGTGTGTGTATATGTACGAGATTTCAAAAACAGGATATGCATTTGTATGTATTTATGTGAAACCCAAAACTGGCTAGGTACTTATCTTTCTTTCTTTGTGTTTACGCATATGTGTATAGATATACGAATAGGAATACGTTATCTATATAGATAGTAAGTAAATACATGTGACTTCGTTCGATCCCAGAATGGCCCACTTCTCCTGCATCCACGTGGCAGGAGCACCGGACGAGGATTGGGGGGTGGCTTATTGCGACTCCGATGAGGAGTCTGAGCTTCAGCAAGAAAAGCCAAAGCCAAAGCCAAAGAACCCCGATCCCGAAAAGCCTAAGCCGCCGAAGCGCACAGAGCCAAAGCAGCCCAAGCTCGAAGAGCCGAAGCAGCTGAAGCAGTCAGAGCCTGGGTCAGAGTCCAAGCCGCAATATGAGACCGGGTGGGATGCAGGGTCTGGGCGAGCCTGGCGAAAAGCAATCACTAAAGGCCGGCCAGGTCCTGTGGAGTGGTCTAAATATCCGGAGGTGGATGCGAGCAAGGATCGTTTTGACCCTGTAGTATGTGTCTTCCCTGATGGGATGACTGTGGACGTGCCTCACATCACCCAGGATGCTAGGTCTGGAATAATACAGGCTGTGTTTGTTTAGTGTCATATCTCCACAAGAAGAACAGTTTGCATGACTTCCTCATGCATGTGTGTCATATGTGCTACTTGAGCTAGGCTCGTGTGGCTACCGCAGCCCGGTCCTAATCACAGCTCCGATGCACTGCTGCTTGTGTCTAAATGTGCAGCCCCTCTAGCAAGTTAAGTCGCAACATAATCAACCCTCAAACCCAAACAACAACCCACCCCAGACAACGACCCACCTTTGGAAACCGGGCATCCGAACATTCTGCCTGCCCAAACCATCTCGATTAAACCCGAGAAACTTTCGAAGCCCAGGAAGATCTTGCCGCCCGTCGAACGAAGTCCAAGCAGAAGCCGAAGGCAGCCGCCGCCACGCCTGAGGCAGGCAAGGTGGGACAGTCTGACAGCACTGGCAAAGAAGAGAAGGAGAGCGGCGAGGATGCCCAAGATCCCAGAAAGAGTGACATCCCATGCATCGAGGAACTCATGGAAGACTGCCACGTTCCAGGGGAAGGGTTTGAAACCAAAGTTCAATACAAGAAGCAATCCAAGAGAAACTCGATTGTGGCTTTGTTTCACAAGGCTGAGCAAGGCAAATGGGAGCAGAAGGTGCAGGTCGTCTGCAAAGATGATCGGCACCCGGCATGGGTGGCAATGCTGATTGTGAAGCGGATTCAGGTAGAGCTCATGCTGGGCGAGGTAGATTTGCTACATTTGAAGATGCGTAAGGATGAGATATTGGCCGCCTACAATGATGGTGATCTTCTAAGTCATCTACATGCCTGGCAAAAGAAAGCACCCCCGGATTCGTTGTACGGTGACATCGCCGATGTTCTTTGTGATCAAGCAGAAAGCCTCCCTGTCAAGCAAAACGTCCCAGCCAATCTGAGGCGAAGTGGTCGGCACATTTCCGAAAGCCCTCCTGGCGACCGAGAGAAGGAGGCTCCTGTGCCGGAGCCTCCCCGTGTTCTTGGCAACCCTGATACATGCGAAACTTTCGTTGAAGAGAGTCAGACTCAGACGGCATGATCCTAGCTTCGTTGGCTTTCTGTTTTTGTAGCTGCAGCTGCAAGACTTCGGGAGCGCTGTATTTGCTATGTAGACATGTGATGCATGTGAGTTATACCCAGACTGCAGTAGCAAAACAACCCAGAGTAGCGAATGCCCCAGCTTGTTATTGAAGTTACACACTACATGACCAATCCCAAGTGTTTGAACTTCTCAAGCCGCATTCAGAAGCTTGCTGCAGTACTTCGTCTGGCCTCAGGGTTTCACTTCTTCCTTGCAGCACCAGTCCGGACCAGTTCGCACGTGCAAAACCTGGGATGGGACGGTGTGCTTCCTTGGTCTTACAAGTATAGAGGCGGAGACTTGCTGCCGTAGTTCTAGGTTCGAGTCTTTCAGGCATGAACAGTAGTCAGTTAAAACTAATCACTTAAATTCGAAGGACCACTGTCGTGCGAACCCTAGCCAAGGACCCCCAAGCCCTATAGTGCCCCAAGAAAATCTAGTGTCGCAACAGGAAGTCGCCGACATCTTATGTTGTAACACGGTTCTGATAAGAGTACACCCACCTCTAAATTTTGGAAAGAAACTACAGATCGGGGTCTTGGGGAAGTTGTAGGTTATAGTGCTCAATAATGATGATGTGCACAGACTTCGGGCCCGGCAAGACTCCAGGCTCTGATGTAGAATTTGGGTTCATAGTTCAGCTTACTTCAATCGTGCGAGGCAATCAGGATCTCGGTAAGTTTCGAGTGTATGGGTGCACGACGTATACACAACCTCAATAAGGTGACAACCCCTAGTGTGCAAGCAGTTCTGGAGCACTCATGTCAAGAGAGAATCCCACAGTCATGTGCCAGCTACTCAGACGGTCGATACAATCCGGCAATCCTCCAATGCTTCTGGAACACTCGCCCACGGCATTCATCTATAGATACAGGAGCGACTCAGCAGATTGTAGCTACAGCTACTATACGGGGTCAATTTAGATCCAGGAGCGGGTTGCGCGCCGGCCGCGGGCGGTTTTGATTGATTCTAATAGAAAACCATGATCTTTAGCAAAAACCATGCGATGAGCCTTCCCCAAGCAAAACCCCGATGAGCACCCGATGAGCTCCCGATGAGGCCAAGGCCCAAAGATTCATGGTAGAGCTAGCCCTCGTATCCTGGGCCCCGTGGCTAAAGGATTGCTGGCGATGAGCCTCCAATGAGCCTGCAGCCGATGAGCCTCAGTCGATCTTGCCATGAACCGTCCGGGATACCATCCCTGGGTCCCAGCCTGCTTTCTTTACGTAAAGCCAGAACCCCCCGATGATCCAGCGATGAGCTTCCAGGGATGGATCGATGAGCCCCACCAAGGCCCGATGAGCTACCGATGAGCCCTCTAGGCTACGCTTAATTTGGGCGCTTACGCCTAGTTTGGTGCGTTTACGCTCGGGCGGCTTGCGTAGACGCTTAGCAATGGCTGCTCCGGGTACACCGATCCAGCTCCCAGCAGCAGGAGCTGTGCAGGAGGCCAGCAAAAGCCAGCGGCTGTCGTATTTAGATATTGTATACTCTTATATCGATATAGACCTTGGCTCGTGCTTGAGAAATGAGAACTAGACTGTAAATCCAAGCATCATTCGAAACTCGCAAGGCCGCCCAATCCTAAAGAACCCCAAACCGAAAGCAGTAAAGCCGAAAAACACCAGCTATTGCAGCCAAAGCCCAATTGCTCCGGAGGCAGCCGCCCAGCAGATGGAGCAGCAGCCGGTCGTTGATCCACCGCAGCCGGTCGTTGATGCAGCAGAAGCGAAGGCCTTCCGAGAATTAATTGTGTTCAATTCGAGGGATATTTAGGGTTTTCTCCGCAGGGGTAAAACGATTCGATTGGAGTCTCGGACTTTCGGGATATGTGTTATTGTGCCTGTAGCTAAATTACAAAGTAGTCAGACATTGTGTGTGCCAGCCGATCGATCCTCCCAAGCAAGCATCCATGCTTCTTGCAGGCAAAGCCCACTGTTACCGAAGTGCCCTCCAAAGACCGTGCGATCGAGAAGTACGCTGAGTTCCACAATCTCGAAGCCTCGACTGTCGAGCTAAAGACGGTAGAAGGTTCGACTGAAGGCCTCCATTACTGGGCGGCCTACGGGATCGACATGACAGCGAGGGGAGCCGTCGGGCAAGCCATCAATCGATCCTTTGCCAAGCATCCGAAGGTCAAGGAACTTTACCGCTGGCTGACGGATGATTTGAAAAAAAATTTAGAACCACGTGGGCCCTCGAGCGTGACTTTCAGAAGGTTTTGCGCAAGCGTGTGAGAAAGCTGACAAGCAAGACTAAGCAGTCAGAGATTGGTAGCTGGAAGAATCAGCTTCAATTGCAAAACCATTTCGGCGGCTCGGAACATGCTGAAGCCTGCAGACAGGCTGCTCATTACATCAAAATGTGCAAGCTGTTCCCGGACACTTTTGTCGAATGGAATGCATGGGCCGATGCTGAGAACTACCTTCTCGTCGAACGCTTGTCCAGCAGCTCGACTTCGGAAGAGTGGCAGGAAGTGGTGGAGATGATGGACGAGGGAGAAACCTTCGAGCTCGAGAGTGTTCGTTTGAAAGCTCGACGAAAGTATGCGGCCAGCCACCAGCTGAGTCTCGAGGACGTCTCCTTGGAGGACGTCGTGGCATCTCCCCATGGACTCCAAGGCTGGGCGGAGATGGTTATCAGTGTGCCCGGGATTGAGCAGGTGGATGATGGAGCATCGCAGGCGGGAACAACGGTCTCAACCATGGCCACACCTCAAAGCAAGAGGAAGCGAGAGGATTCGCCAACCACCGACGAGAAGCCGCCCGGCAAGTCCAAGTCAGGCAAGAATGGCGGCCACAAGCCGAAACCCAAGGCCAAGAGCTGTGCTGCTTCGAAGAACAACAAGGCTCAGGAGAAGAAAGCCAAGGAGCTCCTTTGCCTCTATGAGCGTGGCCAGCAGATCGTGGATCGGGTGGTGGGAGAAGCAGACCGCTTCCCTTCGGAGTGGTCGTGGTGCAAGCCGTTGCTGGAGGAGTACCGCTCCAAGCAGGATGAGTTCCAGAAAAGCCTCCACCCAAGTGGAGCGGAGGATCTTACCGAGTTCATCAACGAGTTCCGCCTCACCCTCATTTCCCCGACAGCTTTAAAGGACCTGAAGAAGGCCCAGAAGGACCACTACTATCGGCTCCTGACGGTTTTCATCGACCGCTGCAACAGCATCTGCGAGCAGAGCCACGGCCGCATCCGTAGAACGAGAGTAGAGTGATCTATATGGGGCTGTAGGGTTGTAGGTCCTTCCTTCAGGTTAGGTTGTAGCTTTCAAGTTTTGGAGGCTTCCGGGTGTTAAGCTTTCGGGTTAGAGGGTTTAGGGCTTGAGACGTTTAATACTTGGGGTTTTACCTACCTTAACTCACCGGGTGCATTTATCCCGAACATGTTCAATTCCATACAACCGCCCAGGGCGAACCACATTGCGAGCAAGATCGACAACATGGCCAAGGCAATGTCGGCAGCCTCAGCCATGCCCGCAACCCCGCAAACCGCGAAGAAGAAGAGGAGGGCCTCTGCAGTGAAGGAGGCATAGTGCTTTATGGTGATCGCTTTCAGATCTCAGTTTTGCACTGTGGTTTTGCCATCTCAAAGATGGCCGGGTGTATCCGTGGCGTGTGAACACGCTTTAGCTAGATGATATCCAAATGTGATACATGGGGTTAAAGAATCTCCAAGCCGAGCCGGGGAAGCACGGCCGTTTCAAGTCGTGATCGCGAGACTCGGGACAAACAGCATCGCGATTCCTAGTGTCTAGTGCACCATGCATTGAATGTCGCAGTGCTCGCCACATCTCGCCACATCATGGAGCATGTATTCCCGGCACTGTTCATGGCTCTATAGTGCATGTAGTGTGTGCCATGGACCCGAAGCATGCGAAAACGAGCCAGAGCCCAAACCCGTGAGGATGAACCCGAACAGCCGCTGCTCCCTCAACAGACACGTGCTGGCGAAAACCTGCGAGCTTGCCTGCTAGACCGCTTCACGATGGGGAGCATCACTGGTGCAGATGTTGCTGAGCTTAGCTTCCACATCACGGAAGCCGGGGGACGAGGAGTTTCGGACCTAGCTCTTCGCCCGGAGGTCGCAAAGTCACACGGACACCAACACGTTCGTCGTAATGCTGGAAAATTCTACCCAGAACCCGATGTCACTTATATCAACACACCATTATTCATGAAGCGAGAGACTCGAAGGGTTAACGAAAGGGTTCCTATGATGCTGCCATCGAAGCTGTTTGAGCTGTTCGTTGAGAAGCCAGAGGTCCTATCAAAATCCGAAAAGCGGTACGAGTTCTTCAACGGGCTATCTTGCTTTGAACAACATCCTGTAGTGTCGCAAGCACGTTCCCAAGGAATCCCCGTGCGACCGATTGCATTGTATTGGGATGGAGTGAGATATTCCGTTCACGACTCCTTTACCGGGTTCTTCGTGACTGACCTCCTTTCCGAACAGAAGTTCCTATCATTCCTGCTCAGTGGCCTCGTCTGCATGCAGCCAGCAATGACGTCGTCCGATCGTGATCCTAGGATCGTTGCATTCTGATTCTAGCTTACCGCTGTTAATCTAAGGAAGTGAGGATATGTGTCAATGCGGATGCCGTGGCTGGTGTTCCCTGTATCCGGCTCTATTGGAATGGACCCGAGACCTGCAAAAGCTAGCTGCGAGAGACACTGTTCGCTATGCAGTCTTAGACATTCAGACAGACTGGCCGGCATGGCTGGAGGTTGTAGGGGCTCGGTTTTGGAGCCATGGCAAGTTCCCCTGTCCGTTGTGCATGATCAATCAAGAGCAACTGTGCCAGCCACACGCCGAGGGGGTAACCGTCGTGAGTATGCCATATGAGTTGTTCACACACGACACGTACGAGGTGACTCTGCGAGAATTCACAAAGGTGGCTAGCCTAAAATTTCAGTAAAGTTGAACACGGTCCAGCATGTTCGTGCAGCACCAATTAATGTACAGCCCTGGAATTTCTCTCTGAAGCTGAGGTAGTTCCAATCCCCGACGCAGAGACTATGAGAACTATCACGAGGCACCTCGAGTACAAGAAAGCAACCCTTGGCAGAGCCCTGGTTTGCGACTTGCCGCAACTTGGCCTCCGCAAAGGTTGGCGGCTGGAGCCGTGCCCAGGTCTGCCTGATGTTGGACAGTTCGAGTTTACCCCGCTTCCGTTCGATTGCACGTTTTGGGTTGGTCCGGAAGATGGTCGTTTGACACACGGTTGTCCACTCTTCGACATCCCTGGGCTGACGTGGGAAAGTTGGGCCATAGACATCATGCACTCCTGGCATTTAGGTCCTCTACAACAACTTGTCAGTTTGACACTCCACTTCTGTATCGGGTCAGGACTATTCGCTCCCAAGACAATTCATCTTAATGCTTCGGATCGACAGCAGATGAGTTTACTCGTGATTAAGTCGGAGCTTTTCTTGTTTTACCAGCAGCTTCGGGAGTTGGACCCGGAGTGGAAACGCAAAGGTACTGAGGCTGGGATGGGATATTATGTTGGGCGACCTAATTATTAGAGTCTTAAGGGCCTGGGTTTTAGTTGAAAGTAAGCCCTCAACCCCGCGAAAGTAAGCCCTCAATCCCGCAAGCCCACAACCCCGCTGCAGGTTTGGAATCTCACCTTGGGGATGTTGGGCAACCAAGAGACCTACAACCTCAGCTGCAAGGCTGCTGAAAGCCACGGACTCTTGCGATTTATTCATTGGTTCTTGGATCGCCACCTAGATGAGTTCCGAACCCTAGACAACGACACGAGCCGCACAGCAGAACTGTTGTTGGCCGCAGCCAAAAACGCACTGCAAATGGATGAGGTGCTGGGACTGTCATGTCGGAAAATTGATTTGGGATCAGTTCAGAAGCTTCTGAACTGCTACATTCGGTTTCTGTTATTTTATGGACGGGCCGGGGGTGTTCTGAAACCTAAATTTCACCTTCTGTTTCACATGATACAGCGAGCCCTTTACAAGGGAAATCCCAGGGCTTACTCGACATACCGCGACGAGAGTCTAAACGGGATCTTCGCGAAGATAGCCAGATCAGCCCACCGAAGAACGTGGGCTAACGTCATCCACTGGAAGGCTTCCATGTTTCACAAGAAAGCTTTCGATGCCTATGTGTCCGATTGCACATGATGCAAAAACATATTGATTGCACTCTTTGTGTTGTTTGCCAGGTCTTTGTCGATCTTTATGATGCCAGGTAGAATGCCATGTTCATGTGCAACAAAACCGGGTGCCACACATGATCGTGTATGGTTTCATGCTCGAGACGGTACTGAATGTACATATGATATCCTATAGCCATGGAGGCTCTTCGCATGGTTGAGGAGTCTGATGGCTGCTTCGATGCTAGTGCCAACCTACAAGAAATCGATGCAAAGGTGAAACTGTTCGACCGATACAGGTGGAGAGATCTCCATTGCTTGGACCTGTTTGCGGGTCAAGGGAGCTTTCGGAACACATGCATGGATGCCGGCAAGCGGTGTGTCAGCATAGACAAACTTGCTGATCCGATCATGCAGAACATCTTGACAAAGCCTGGGTTCTACGCAGTCCTGTCCCTGGTGTGTTCGCTCGAAGCTTACTAGCAATTAGCTAGACTCTCGGGTTTAGGTTTAGGTCTAGATTTCCTTGTGATTCGGTCAAGAAGCTACAGGGTTGCCTTGGGAAGCTGGTTTCGGTGTTCAGGCTTGCGTGTTTTCCTGAGGTTGGGGTTACCAGGTCCGAGGCTGCCTATCTCAAACAAACTCAGGTGACTGGTGGATGTATCCTGGCAGGGCCGCCTTGCTCGATGTTTATCTTTGTGTCCCAGAGCTTCCACTGTAGAACCGACATGAACGTTTACGGGGACCAGTATCAACGCTTGATTCGGGAAGCAAACCAGATCGCGATCAATTTAGTGGTAGTCTTGGCAGTGGCACACAGTCGAAAGATTTTCTTCTTGCCCCTCGACTAAATATCCAAGTTTGAGCGTTTTCGGGTGATTAAAACGGATTCTGAGCACTCTGAGGCTGGAACAACCTCGGAATTCTTTTCTCTGGAAGCTTCCAGAGATGGCTGCTTTTCTTCGAGAAGTTGGTGCATCACGGCTGTTTACTTGGATGCAGCGGTTTGGCCACCCTATGCCTAAACCAACTGAGATTTACAGCAATCTTCCAAGCGACATTCTGTGTTCACTAAAGAGGATTTGGTCAAAGCGAATAGTGGGATTGATTCGGCAAAAAGCTGTTGCTGCAAACTATAAATGTCGTTGGTTGCGTAAGCTGCTGAAAGTACAACCACTGGCGTTTGCTAGAGCAAAGCGGTTTGGGAAGTCCCGCAAAGCCATCTTGAAGCAACAGATTTACTTTGTGCGCAAATGGAACCCGACGACAGAGAGGATGGATGTTACGGGAGGAAAGCATCTGGCCAACAGCGCTGCATACACCAGATGTTTCTGCCGAGCAGTTCTGGCTGCTTGGGAATGCGCTCCGGATCGACCTGCTGTGGAGCTGCTTTACACGAGCTTGTGGGATTCCATCCGATTTAGATTCCGACGTCGAAAGATTCGAGTGAGAAATCTGGAAGAGGACCATTTCTGTTTATCCAAACCTACATCCCGTAGCTGAAGACCTTAATGAAGCAGTTACTGTGAAAAGATTCACGACACAACCCGAGCTTTCGCAGGATCCGGAAATCATCCGGGACATCGAGGCTTCACGACGGAGATTGCATGCTGTCCTGGATGTGCTTTAATCAGTGTCTCACTCGAGAAAGCACTCAAGACTTCCGAGCTGGGGCTGAAAATGACGGCGAGATCGAGCTTTCATTCAGCCTTGACACATCGGATTCAAGCTTCGTTTTGAAGTATCTTCGGATTCGTGCTTGCCGAACACAACGGTGAAGATCCAGCAACATTTCCCAATCCCAAACCGACCGTCTGAGTTCAACCCTCAAACCCTTACGACCCTAAAAGCCTTAAAACCCTAAAACCCTACACCCTTTTTTAATATCTTTTTTTTTTCGGCTCAAGCGCAAAGCTTTTGGCTCAAATGGTTCAAAAGTGACTCGCTCGTCACGTGCTGTAAATACCAGTGGTTCTAAATTTTGGATCCAGAAGCTGCTTCTGGATCTATTTTCACAACTTCGACGTGGATCTATTAAATAGATCCAAACGGTGGTCTGGGGAGTTCACTTTCAGCAGTAGAAAGTGTCACAAAAGCTTGACGCGCCGACCTCCAAGCAACTGGACATCCATGCACACACACGCACCAGCCTCCATGTGAGCGAAGGCCTTCTGGCGAGAAGCTTGCGTCACTCCAACCGTGAAGTTGGGTTCCGTCCGCCTCAAACACCAGCGACGCTGTCTTGGTTCGCTGCAAGTAAGCCAAGGCACGGTCAGCAATGCGTAGAGCACGACAAGGCGCCTTCGTAGACAAACTAGCAAGCAAGCTGGCAGTGAACGCCAGGTCCGGGCGAGTACGTTGAGACAACCACAGCAGTTCACCAGTCACCTGTTGCGCGCGGTGAACGGCCTCCCCGTCAGGGGGGCTGGAGTCTCCTTCGCCAACTTCAAACGACGCTAGCTCCCGAGGACAAGGGATTCTACCCCTCACGTGGCAAGGTACCTCATGAAGCCGCAAGACTTCTTCTGCGTACGACTGCTGTGAGAGAACAAACCCACGAGGAATGACAATGATGTCCACGCCAAGGAACTTGATCGGCTGCTCTGGGGTAGCTACCACAAACGGTGTTGTGGCCCACTTTTCTTGCAGAGCCTTTGCCAAACTTTGAAGGACACCTAGCGACCCACACAACAAGAAGTCATCAACGTACACCAACAATGCGCCCTCAACGCGACCACCTTCAACCCTGACGACTTTCCACCAGTTCGGGTCTAGGGTCGAAGGCTCAAGCCGGTAGGTCACGCCGTCAAGGTCCCACACCAACGCTGCCAAACAAGCATCTCGATACTGTCCCCACAAGCGCGGGGCCTCTCGAAGGCCGTAAACCGCGTGGGATAGTATCCACAGCTCATGTGCAACTGCAAGACCAAGCTTGACCAACAAGCGGGGCGGGGTCAACGCAAAGATGGGGAAACCTTCAAGACAAGGAATAGGCGTTTTGAGGAACGCGCTGGTGATATCCAACACCCCCAACAACCAACCAAAGAAGCTTGCCAGGGCAACCACTGTTCTCAAGCTCTCAGCCTGAGCACCTCCAGCATACACATCCAAGCCTGTATTTGGCGCCACATTTCCGCAAGCAACAAGTCTCGCTTTCCGACGGTACAAACTTTGGCCTTGCGACGAAGCCTTTGGAGCGCCCTGAAGGGCCTCTGTACTGTTGTCGGGCTGAGTGAGCGCAAGCTTTCCAGTGTCACCAACAGCTGCTGCCCCTTGGTCGGGCGGTTTCACTGTGAACACAAACTTGGAAGGTACCACCTGCAGTCGAGGATCACTCAAGTACTCGGCCTGCCTGGGGTCTGAAGGGCGCAGTCTGAGCACCGCATGCTCAATGGCCTTTACTTCTTTCTCAATGGACGGAATCCAAGGGATTGGATTGAGTGCGACTTCTGCGGGGTCTACAGTGTGAACGATTTGCAGAGGTGAGCTTAGATTGCTTAGAAGGTGTTCTATGTTCTTCGTGAACGTCGGTTCGGCTTTGCACAGGCGGTAGGGGATTACGGGTCTACCTTCGCTTACGAAACCCTCCTCCTCTAACGAGCTCCGCGAACCACTTTCTACAACCTTAAGCACCCTCAAACTGCAGTTGCTGGCGTTTGCGGCATCGCTCATGGGCTCCTGCGGAACATACATGTCCCAAGACACAGTAACCGGCCAGGCCTCATCAATCTCAACGGGTCTTTGGTTCTGCTCTGGTCCGGCCTCCTCTTTAGAGGGGCTGCATACAGGGGCAACTGGCCGATACGAACACGACCAGTTCACAGCGAAGTCTACAAACCCATCTGCAACTGGAAAGACCTCTTGCCAACCACCACCTTTGTTGACGGGTTGGCTCTCCGGGAAGCTAGGGTGTTGATGGATAGGGATCTCATGAGCCTCAGTGGCCTCCTCCTCCTCCTGTACTTGAGACAGACGCGGGGCCTGGAGATAGGCGGAGTCTGGGAGAGGAAATCCCAAATCTGCTAAGCCGTCAAGGTCATCTTTTTCGGCCTTTCCAAGCACGTCGGAAGTGTAGCCTATAACAACGACGCGGGTGCCCTTGAAGGGAGTTACGAAATGATGCCGCTTAGGATCAAACTCGAAAACTTCATCCTCTTCAAGTCTGTGCACCACACCGTGACGCTTGCGACCTCGTGCATCAGTGTGCTCTACAATAGACCCCCTAACAACATCCCCACTACCTAACTCAACCCAAAGATCGCCCCCACGCTTAGGAAGACACACTGGTAGGATGAGATTTGTAGTTCCCGGAAGGTTGGAAGAATCAGTGTGAATGTCCTTTTGACACGAGTTGGACAAACACACCGACGTGAAGGTAGCATCAGGTGCGTGATGCTGCAACAGGCGCGCGCA